CCGGTGCCCCCACCGGGACGCGAACCGCGCCGAAACCAGAGATCATTAAAATGCACTTTTATCTAAATGACACCATGCCACGGATGACAAGAGTTATGAGCTGTAGCCAGGAACCTGAATGTCTACAATTCAAAATTAACCTTTGACAAACACTGAAACAGAGTTCATGATGCACAGACATGCACCCAGATTTTAAGGATTTTAAGGAGCTTCAGGAATGCTGACGTTTGCTTGACAAGTCCCTTAGCTTGTGCCACCTGTGAGAGATCATTTCAGATGCTCTCCATGGACACGGGATCCTGCCCCGTTAAACGTCCACCAACTTCACCGAGCCGTTCAGGAAAACACATTCCAACATTCCACATGCAGCATCAACAGCCTCATTAACTCTGTGCATTGCAGACATGTTGCGCTACATGATGCAAATGGCGGACACACTCATTACTGACGTATGTTTTCTGGTCTGTGACACCACTCTCAATCTGCCCATTATCAGTATAATGCGTACTTGATGTGTCGTGACATCAGTTCTGTTGCAGAGATGCTGGAACGACAAGAACTTATTCTCCTATGTTTAAAAGAAAAGCATTTAGTAAAATATTACATCCCGAATTTAGGTTTTTGTTCAGTATATTTAGTTAAAATGTTCTTCACACCTTTAAAGCCAACTTAGTTTTCTCATTTAAAGTAAAAGCAAGCAAACTGTGTGGCACAGTGTAACCTGGAGTTCATGTGGTGCACACCAGAGAGTCAACACTGCTGCTTGGTAACAACTAGTCTGGTGCAACTGACGCTTTCACAGCACCCTTGTGAAATCACATAAATATATATCTCAAAATGTCATTTTTATTGGAGGACGGGGAAGGAGCATCAAAGGCAAAGAGTGCAGGTTTACTGCTTTGTTTACCACAGTGGCAGACACAGCTAGTTCAAACGTGTCTCCTGCATATTACACTAAAAGGCATGAAAAAGTCCCCAAACCCTGAGGTAAAACTTTCAAATTGTGGCCAAAACATCAGAGGTTTTTTATCTTTTGCTTTGTTTATCAGTAGAGTCAAACAGAGCAACAGCACTCGTGAACGTTTTATGCTGGGTGAGGTGAAGAAAGGTGAGTCCAAAAAAGAAAAGTACTCTTAAAACCTAGCCTAGGGGTCCCCCCGGAAGAGCTGGAGGAGGTGAGTGCGGATCGGGAAGTCTGGGCGGCTCTGCTCAGGCTGTTACCTCCGCGACCCGACTCCGGATAAGCGGGAGAAGATGGATGGATGGATGGATGGATGGAGTCTTAAAATCTAAGAAGCATGATTCTGAATAAATATGGAAAATACCACATACCAAATTCAGAGTAAAATGTACCAAAATTGATGTTACACCTTGACACATGTGCCTCTTTTATTGTCTTTTTGAGAGTTTTTGTCTTTTATAGAATAGAATAGAATAGAATAGAATAGAATAGAATAGAATAGAATAGAATAGAAACACTTCATTAATCCCCAAGGGGACATTTTGTTTCTGTTTTTTTTTTTCATTGTCATTCTCCTTTTTAATGTTGGACAGTTTTGTTTTTAGGATTTTTTTCCCCTCATTTTAGTGAAGCATCTTGGAAGTGTACTTTTAAAAGGTACTATGGAAATAAAGCTTATTTGTCTTATCCATCCATCCATCCATTATCTATACACCACTTAATCCTCACTAGGGTCATGGGGGGCTGGAGTCTATCCCAGCTGACTCAGGGTGAAGGCAGGGGACACCCTGGACAGGTCACCAGTCTATCGCAGGGCTACACTTAGAGACAGACAACCAAGCACACTCACATTCACACCTACGGACAATTTAGAATCACCAATTAACCTCAACATGTTTTTGGACTGTGTGGGAGGAAGCCGGAGAACCCGGAGAGAACCCACGCTGCACGGGGAGAACATGGAGACTCCACACAGAAAGATTCCGGTGCCCCCACCGGGACGCGAACCGGCAACCTTCTTCCTGCGAGGCAACAGTGCTACCAACTGCGCCACCTAGTATTATTATTATTATTATTATTATTATTATTATTATTATTATTATTACAATTTTCAAACAGTATTCCGCAAGAGTATTAATGTGGACAAAAATATAATTTTGTTGTTGTGTATTAATCAGTTTTTTAATAAAATAAAAACAAAAATAAAAATAAAATAAAATAAAATAAAATAAAAATATATAGATTTAAAATCTTTTTCATTAGCAAAATACACCATGTAGCCTTGAGAACCGGTCACTAGTTCACTGTGATTTGTCCACTCATACCTATGAATCGTCACTAATTAAAGCTCACCCAGTATAAGAACTATTGCTGAAGCTGATGCTCTGTTTGGCCTCCACTGAGATGTTTAAATGAATGTGCTGCTACACATTTGGACACTTTGGTTTGGGACTTTCTAATGTCATTGCAAGAAGTTGTTCACTGCGTTCACTGATTCATGTGGAAAGTAGCGGAAACATATTGAACGAAACCATTTTCTTTTTCTTTTTTTTTTTCTTTCTGCAAAAAGCATTAAAATAACATTTGATTTAATGGTGGTGCACTTACAAGGTGAAATTAGTGGATTAATGGTTTTCTAATGGGGTTGATGGGGTTGAAATTCATCAAAGTAATTTGACAACGCGCTCATCGTGTTTACTCGCCGTGCATTATCCTGAAATTATCCAACAAGGTCAAACATTTCCGCTCTCCGTTTGGAAAAAAAAAACAAAAAACAGCAGCTTACAATCAAAATATGAGATAATGCAAGAAAAATAAGTATATAAATGTTTATTTCAAAACATGAGAATGACCATTTATGGTAAAATTCAATAATATGTTGATATAATTTTTTTTTTTTCATAAGGGATAAATTTAAAAGTATTTCTTTAAATATCCAGTACCACAAGCTCTTCTTCAATATAGACCTAAAATATTATTTTTTTCCTCATAGACACCATGGCATGTGAACACAACCACTTCACACCACAGCAAAGGTTGAAACGTTTAAATGTACATCAGTACCGTCGGAAAGTTCTGTTGCGCTGAGATCAGAATCTGTTTCTCAGAGCTGCACGCTGCTGAAATCCCCACCACCCGTCGAACGCATTGAGAGACACACAAAAACTGAGTTTCTCAATACGATTAGGTGGAGTGACTTCGTAAACCCCCTTTTTCTCCCCCTTCTGACTCTTTGTGACGGGACAAAAACGCACCGTCCACCTGCCACTGATTCCTCATTCGTCAACTGCTTAAAATATATTTTTGATTTTGCTGGAACAAAACACCCACAATCTGTCCATAGCCGCGGGAAGCAGGGATGCAGCTCCCTCCAGTGGTTGACTGAGTGAACTGAAAGAGCAGCCAAGTGTCTGAAGAACCTTCTGTCTTTATCATCCCACATGATTGATTCGAAGCATACATTTCTGTTTTAGTAAAAAGCAAAAAAAATAATAATAATTACACCTCATGTGAGAGGAAATAATGCACAAGTATATAAATCTATCTTAATACTCATTAATGATATGTTAAAGATGAGGTCTCACTCAGATTTGCAGGGACTGAGTAAACAGCAGTTCTTTAAATTCATGTGCATTGCAGTGCAAGGTTGTTGCCAGAGTCGTGATTCCCTCAGTAATGAAAATGACGAACATATTTCATTCCAAACTCAATCACCTCATACAGGAAAGGGCTGAGTGTTTAATTAAAGGGGCTCTGCAGTGATTTAGTATTGCACTTTTATAAAGTTGGGCCACTCACAAGAGACAGATTGTAAAAAAAAAGATGGTAAAAAGTTGAAGCAGCAGATGCTAAAACAACCTGACTATTTGTCTCCTGTATGGGTCAAACCACAAAATAAAAAAAAAAAACAGGACTGGGTTCTTCACTTCCCAGCAGCATATTTTTAATAGACTTTCCTCGGCCTTTACAGCCTCAGTTTGTATTGCAAGCTTTGCTATAAAGCCGTAGTCTCAAAACCCTTACGATTCATTGTAATCACCGGGTTGTTTTCTCAGACTTAAAGCTCCCCTCTGAGCCACAGAAGACGTTATACATCTGTCTCCTCGGCTGAGTGCTCCCGTGCAGCCGGCTGACCCCTGTGTAAAATGTGTTCAGATTAATAAAAAAAAGAGGAAAATGCAATTTTAAAAAACCTCTGTTTTGCCTATAATGACACTAATACAAGGTAACAATGTGGAAAAAGACAATTTGAGCGGTACAACACCGTAAGTTAACCAACCTCAGCGTATTAGAGTCAAATTGCTTGAATCCGTTTCACTGCTAAGAGCGTAACAAACATCTTCCATTATCGTGAATTTTCAGAAAAAAGCCCTGTCGAGTCCTGTCTTTGCATCGTTTTAAAAGGTAGAAATCATCGATTCACAAAGGAAAATTAGCATCTCAAAGCGTCTGCGTGGGAACTGCTCGGGTTGCAAGACACCTTTTTTTTTTAACTTTTGACACAGACGATGGTGGGATTTTGCTATAAAAATATCCAAAAATGTATTTTTGACACATTGGGCATATAACAGTAGCAGGACAACACACACAGGAATACAACACACATAAAGCTAGGTTCAATTTCATGGGGATTTTTTAAAGTATTTGTGATTGTTTTAGGTCTGTGCCACTCTTTCCTCACAGTGTCTTCCTTTCTTATTCACATTTTTGGGAAATTATTACATGAATTATTTAAAATATTTAGATTTTTTTTTGCAGCTTCTGTTGCATAAATTTTTTTATTGAATTTAGTGGGTTTTTTTTTTACACAACTGGGATTTTTCTGTGCTCTTGTCACTGATGTCCATATGTGCTTGAAGGCCTCTCCAGCCACAACTTCATTGGTTGTGGTTCACGGTTTCTCATGTTTCTGTGGTAAGCACTGTGGCCTTTCAATTGATCTGATCTGCTGTGTGGAGATATCGTCGTTTTCATTTTAAATATTACATTGATGACTGCGTGGATGATGTAGACATTTTATCGTAAGTTGCAGTTAATTTTTTTTAGTTGTCATTTTAAGCGAGTGTGAAAATTATTAGGGTTGCAGTAAGTAACGATGTGAGTAAACATATACTGTAAATTCTCAGCAAACTCCCCACAAACGTGACCCAGAACGACAAAGCCATCTTCCCGCGGCTATGTAGGTAACGCCTCATCAGTCCCCCTGGATTCCTTCAGAGAGCTAATCAAGTCCCGCTGCTTACACTTGATTGGTTGGCTTTTGTCCTCTCCAAAGCGTTCAGAGCGCGCGACAGGTTCGCCTTCTGTCTGTCCAGGCTAGAAGTGTTCCGTGATTGGACAGCTCCAGCGCCCTGTTGGTTGACTCGACTTCGCTCCAAACTAGTGGAAGTGCGTGATTGGACAGTCCTTTCCCCCGTCAAAG